GTGTGTGGCCATGCAAAAAGAGGGAAGGGGACTGTGAGAGGAGGCGGAGGCACCCTAGGCGCATAAAACCTGCCGTCTAGTGCGATTGGTTATTCTAGTTAAACATTGGGTATTTTGAACTAACTGGCGTTTTGACGGAAGAACTGCTGGTTTTTAAATATGTCTTTTAAAATTTGATTTTTAGAGAGCTAGGAAGCGAGAGAGGAGAGAGAGAGAGGGAGAGAGAGAGACATCCCTGAGAAACATCATCAATCGGCTGCCTGCCTCCTGTGTGCCCCCTGTTGGGGAGCAAGCCTGCAACCCGGGCATGACCCGGGACAGACCCGGGACCTACTGGTCCTTGGGTCATTGCTCAACCTCTGAGCCATACCAGCCGGGCTGGTTTTTATCTTTTTTTTTTCTTCAGGTTGATCATATTGTTTTACAACGTCTTCCCTAGTTTTTGTATTTTATAAAAGCTTAGTAAAATATATAAAGAACTTAGTATTGTTTGTTAGAGTCATCAAGATGTAAGTCTTAAAATGTTCAGATCTGGTGGTGTGGCTCAGTTGGTCGACCGTCCTCCTTATGCACGGAAAGGAAAGGTCCGTTCGATTCCCGGTCAGGGCACATGCCCGGGCTGGGGGCTCCCATCCCCAGTAGAGGGCACACAGAAGGCAGCAGATGGGTGTCTCTCTCACCCTTCCTCTCTGTCTTAAATCAATAAAAACGTTAAAAAAAATTTCAATGAAAGTAAATTGCAGTACAAGTTCTAATCGCACCATTTTTAAGGGGGTAGAGCAAAACACATTTTCGTCTCTTGATTATTTGGCAGTTTTCTCTCAGAATTGTAGTTTTGTTGTGCTTTTTGATTTTTAAAGACAAGCTTGGAAATATGAAGTTAATGGCCTTTGTGTGATTTAAATGAGTGCAAAGGAGATAATTTGTGTTTCCTGTAAGTAGTAGTTGGATAGGCTGCAGTCTGAAAGATAGCAAGTTTAGTTCATTATAAATATCATTTGCTCTGCTACCCAAATATTCATCATCCAGCACAAAAGATTTTAAAACAAGTAACATTTTTCACCTGTAAACAAACCTGAAAAACTGACGACCCGACCCCCCCCACACACACACACACATACCCATCATATATGTGTCCTAGTCTCTGGTGGTACTGATGGTGAAATGTTGACATGCAACACTTCTGTGCTGTACAGGGTTGCTTTTTGAGGTACAGAGAAAGCAAAGGAGAATGTTTTTGGAGGCATCTAGCTTCTAGGAAATGGATGGAGTCCAGTTCTATAGTCTCTTTGTTTGTCCAGACATTGAATTGTAATTAGTCTTCTTTGAAGTCTGGTTTCTGGGCCATTTGGCTTAAATTATTGAAAAAGACCTTGCTAACTAGTTGTATTACATGTACATGAATGCAGCTCCCTCCAAATGTGTTGCTCTTATCCTCCAGTTATGGAGGACCGTGGAAAGAGCGGATCATGTATGAATTATAAATCTCTGAGGTTTTTCAGAATGGGCATCATCAAATCTTGGGTTCAACCTGTAATACATCTTTATTACTGTTAAAAATTTTAGTGTCTCTTCTGATGTTTTGGGGCAGTAATTTCCCTGTCTGTATTGTTGACCTTATAATAGTCTTTTTTCCAATATTTGTATTTTTTAAGGATGCTTCAAAATGCATCAAGAAATCCTGGTGTCTGTGAAAGAGTTGCCATATAAAGGAAGGTTGTTTAGATAGGTATCATGAAGTAGTGCTGAGTGTTTTTCCCCCTTTCTCTTGAGTTAACTCTGGCTTCCTAAGTCATTTGAAATTATTGGAATTTCTTAGCAAACCAGTTTATAAAGGTTTTTTTTGCGTGTGGTTAAAAAAAAAGTCACATGAGATCTACCCTCTGAACAAATTTTTAAGGGCATTGTGCAGTATTGACTATGAGCACAGTGGTGTACAGAAGATCTCTAGAACTTTTCATCTTGCATGAAACTTCATACTCATTTCCCCTCCTTCCAGCTCCTGGCAACCACCATTCTACTTTCTGCTTCTGAATTTGACTACTTTAGATACTTCCTATAAGTGGAATCATGCAGTATCAGTCCCTCTGTGACTTGCTAATTTTACTTACCATAATGTCTTCAGGACCATCCATGTTGTAGAGAATAACAGGATTTCCCCTTTTTAATGATAGAATTACATTCCAGTTTGTTACTCTTTTATCTGTTGATAGGCTATAAAGTTTTACCATTTCTCTGAGTTAGTAAGTGTGGTACTGTATATAATGCCTACTGTTTAAAAAAGATAAGTAATACAAATTCAAAATCAGTTGCCAATTAATTGATTTCATGCATTCCTCCCCACCCCAGAAATCTGTGAAAAACACAACAGCTGTGCCTCCTGTGTTAATGCTAGCAATGATATTGCTAATATTTCCTGCTTTTGGATGGAATGTAAAGAAGGTAAGAAACGTTTGGATTGTTTCATTTTTTGAGCATACAGAACTTTTGTTGCAACATTTTAAAATATACAACAGAATATTCTTGAACATTCAAAAGTTACATAGAATGTTTACTATAGTATATACTATTTTTTTATAAATCAAATACTTTTCCTTTACAGTTCCAATTGCTTAACACTTCCCTCTAAAATCTCTTCTTGTCTCCCACCACCCACTTCCCCCCTTAATTCCTTAGACTTGGTAATTAAGGCTCAAAAGTTTTAAAGGAAGAGAGATTATAGAGTCTATAATATAGATCATTGTGTAGGATATACTGAAATTAGCTGTGAAAGAAAGTTGTGAAATGTTCTCCTGGAAACTTCCCCAGAAAAATGTTTGAGACATTTATCCTCAGTGTGTTCTGCTGGATGAACTCTAGAGAGACCTTATAAACTTAAGATAGAAGAGAAGAATGAGGAGGGAAGAGTTGGTTCTTTCCTGTGCTTTTGTTAAGTTAGCTTTAATTTGAGAGATAAAGAATTAGATGGAGATACTTTGAAATGCCAGTTAGGTTTTTGTTAGAACCATGGGATTATAGCATAAATTACTGTTTTCTTAATGTAAGGTGCTTGTGTGTGTTTTTTTTATCAGTATAACAATTTTTTTCTATATAAAGAAAAAGTCAAAGCTACCTGTTAAGCTTCTTTATTCTTCACTGAAAAATTTAACATTACATCACTAACAGTTTAAGAGACTCTTTTAAAATTAGGGTATTGGGTTAATTGGAGGTTAAGTTTACTCTTATAGCAGAGTCACTTTTTTTTTTTTTAGATGATAAAATGGAATTTAAAAGTTTATCCCTACCCCGCATGTATGGCAGAGTTGGCAAGTTTTGGAGATTGAATGCCCTTCTGTAGGATATGTTGGGGAAAGCACTGCTTACTCTTGCTATAAGTCTCCCATCCAGGAATTGGTTTTAGAAAGTGTGGAAGGCTAACGCAGAGATCTGCATCAGAGGACTTCCTGCTGCCTGTAGGGCACCTCCCTGTTTACTGAGCCTTTATTAGATCCTGAGCACTTCTCCCTACTGACTCACCCTCCTGTGGATTCTAGCAGCCTGCCTTGTGCACTAGTCATACCACAATCCTAAGATCTAAGTTTATCTGTTCAGTATATTCATATGGGTTTTAAGAGGATAATATTTGAGGAGATCCTGTATAATATTGCTAAAACAATGGGGAAAAGAGTAACAGTATTTTGTTGGTCTGTGGATAAACTTGAGTTCGATTTTGGGAAGCTATTATAGAGTTGAGTAACAAAGTTAGAGAAAATAAAAGTGAGTGATTGGTGCTGTTTAACTTGTTTGTTGTTGTTGTTTTTCTTCCATAGCAGGTAGAAGCTACTGCTCACAAAATTCAACAGTTACTGATTGCCAGGTGGTGAATAGTACAGATTTCTGTTCTGGTAAGTATTCACATTGGCTGCTAGGGCGAGGAAGATCATTGCTCCAGAAAGCCTAATGTCAGTATTTGCTTTGAAACATTATCGTAGTTCTAATCTTGTTAGAAATTTCAGTATGAATGGCATTTATATTGATTGCTCAAAGGACAGTGTTTTGAAGCTTGGTTTAGTGATTTGGTTATACTGTGGAATGCTGTATGTACAGATGCCTCCTCCATTATTATTATTACTGTTATTTTCACTCTTCCAGAAATTCATTGCAGTTTAGACCCTCTCTTTATTTGGGTTTTACAGGCCTGGGCAGCCTTGTTCTGGCACTTCCTCGCTTATGGTACTGGTGAATGTCATAATGTCCAGCATAGTTTATGCTGTGGTTAAGTGAATCTTCTCTGTATTCATTCATTTTTTGTGCTTTAATTTGAGGAACTTGATTACTCTTTAACCTGTACTCAGGAATTAGTTAAAATTCCTAGCTGGAACAGTGGATTTTTCTAGCAAGACTATAAATTAATAGGAAAGTCAAATTTCTAATTTGGTGCATAGGTAATAATTAAATTAAGTAAAAGGTTTTTCTGAAGAGTGTCAATAACCCTGAAAGACTACCTTTATTTAATTTTGGTAGGAGCTTTCCCATCTCCCTCATCCCAACTTGAACTTTCTAACTAAGAATTTTATTAGTATGAGAACAGTTATGCCCTATATAGAATACTAACATGGTTTCGGTGGTAAATAAACAAACATTAATAGTTATTTAAATGTGTTAGGAAAAACTAATAACTATATCAGATGTGATTTTGTGATTACTATTGCTTAGAAATAAGATTAAGTAAAACATTTTAAGAGACATTACTTATTTGATGATTTATCAATTTACAGTGGTTTGAGAAATAGGTTTACTCTGCTCTCGTGTAAAGGAAGTTGGCTCACGTGCAGCTAGAAGTCTGGCTCACTAGCAGCTCTTACAACCATTAGTGACCCAGGCCCCTTCTAGGCTTTTATTGTCATTCCTCAAAAATGGCTTTGACCTTACTCTACAAGGCAAGTTCTCATGTTTCGGCCACATAATTGGTTATTCTGCTAGCAGGAAGAGGAAGGTAAAGAGAATCCCATATCTGCTTTACATATGCTTCTTAGAAGTTACACATGGCTACCTAGCTGCAGGAGAGATTGAGAAATGTCTGCTGTGGGGAGGGAAGTGTCACTAAAAATTGCTGCTCCTATTTCTGAAGAAGGGGAGTGTGGTACTTCACTGTCAGTCTTCCTTCACAGGTGGTACTAAAATATAAAAATTGTAAAGTGGTACTCAAATGATTGCAGGTTAGGAAATAGTGTTATAGTGTGATATTTTAGAAAGTTTTGACTTAATGTATTTGTTTTTTAAATAGTGCCCACCGCCTCGCCGTTGCCAACCAATTCTACAGGTAATACAAGATAATTGACTGTTTTTCTCCTTTTTCCTTCTTTTAGGATTTTTAAGCTCTCTTGATAACATTTTAGTAAAAGCTTAAAAGTTGTTAGTATGACTTAAAAAGTTAGACTTATTTAGTAGACAATGACACATAGCTTTGGTGTTTCACATTTATTGAATCTGGGTGGATTTCCCATAGTTTTGTACATCGAGTCTGCAAACTGCTTTTTGTGGAAATCCTCAGAAATACAAAAGCCTAAAGGAAATTAAAACTCACTACAATTCCCATCATCCAGAGGCAAACCAAAATATTTTAAAAGTGGTTAAGTTCTTAAAAAAAAAAAAGGTTAAGTTCTTCCAGTCTTTTCTGTGCGTATATCTAAATACATAAACTTACGAAACTGGATAACATGTACCTACAGGTTTGAATTATGTCCCTTTGTTGTATACACTTTACACATCGTGCTCTTGGTTAAATAGGTTGGCATATCTTAAAGGGAAATATTTGCTGTCATCTCTGACAGAAGTGATTCAAATAGCATTCCTAAATGGTTATTTTAAGACTATCAAAACTGATTGTTTTTCATTTTCATCAACTTGAAAGTTTTTCACCATACTCTATAGCATTAGCTAATGCCTTCCTTTTAAAAATCTTCAGCAATTTGATAGGAAGAGTAGATAATTTAAAAGCATCTACTCCAGTACCAGTATTAGACTAGATGATAGGGATACGGAGACAGAAGTAAGATAGCATTTGGTCTGTTGTAGGAACTGTGAAGAGGTAAGTAAGCACAGTGTGTTCAGGGATTTGTAAGGGAAGGTGTGTGTATTGAGTATCATGGCATTTATGGTAACAGCTTCCTGAGTATGCTGACTGACCAAGTGTTGATATTACCTGGTAAGATATGTGGAGAATTTCCCAAGTGGAGCAGGGAGGTCAGCACATGTGAAGGAGATGTGAAAGAATATATTGAGGTCAGGGAATTGCATTTGGAGTGTCCAGTACAAGGTGAGGAAGAGTGAAACTAGATAGTCAACAAGTCAAGAGCCAGATTGGGAAGTGCCTCTGTATGCCTTGCTGATAGATTTGAAGCAAAATAGGTCATGTGATGAGACTTGCATTTTAATAAAATGATTTTTCTTACAATATGGAGAGCAAATGAGAAGAAGAAGGAGTGAACACAGAGATTAGATAACCTGTGGCAGTAATTCTAGAGAACCAGGAGAGGAAGAGTTGCAGATGTATGGAACTCGGGAAGTAGAAGGCCTAGGACTTGATGAGCGAGGTGATGGGAGAGCTCTTAGCTAAAATTAGTACAGATAAGTGAATCAGTGTAGGCAGTAAGGTCACTGAAGTAGTTTTTAGGGAGAAGAATAGGGTTTGAGGACCAAATTCTTGGGAATAATAAGTCTAAGTCATGGGGAGAAGGCTGGAGAGGAGACTGAGTGGAGATGAGACGAGAAGGCCCAGAGAAGTGTGCCCAAGAAACTGCATGTGTGATTTAGGTGTAATTTTTCAGAGGAAAAATGGTCCAATACTGTAACAAGGACAAGAGCTCATTTTAAAAGACTTAGGCAGTGATGAGCTAGCTTTCACCAGGTTTTGCTAGCCAGTTGTGCACAGCTGTTTCCAACTGCACATTCCGTGAGACCATGTTGGTAGCTTGGATTATGGCTACATTGGAAATATGCCATTGAAATCTGCAAATGCGGTGAAACTTTATTTTGGAGAGCACACAGTGGTGTCCTTTTAAACCGTTAGCGCCCATTAGAAGTCATTGACTAGGAAGGAATTAAAGGTTGATGAAAATAGATGTTGAGAAAACTGATTTCCAGAAGGTGGGATGTGAGCAGAAGGAAAGAGGAGGAAATTATTTCCCCAAAATCATTGTGAGTCCACTTTTAATTTCTTCCCCATGAGTCTTGATGTATGCTTGCAGAAAATGTATCGAGTGGCAATTAATGGTTGAAAAACAAACTTTTATTCCATTTTTTCAGTGGCTACTGCTGAAGAGAGCAAGTTAGAAAACAAGGGACTATTAATGCAAAGAAAATCTGATTTATGTAGAAAAGTGTTCAGTGGGGTTAATTATAATAGTCTTCTGCCAATACAAACAGTATAATTATATTTACAAATAACATCTTATAATAAAGTGACTAAATTATGCCAGAAATATAATGGAAAATGTTCATAATATATTCAGTGAAAGACAAACTATATTAAGTATAATTTATTTTTTTGTTACATACATGCCTAGAGAAATGGCTGGCAGGAAAAAAACATGCTTCTCAGAGTGATGGGATTACTTAAATTTCTTTACTGTATTTTCTATCACCAATAACAGCTTTTATAATCTATGAATTATTTTTTTTAATGAAAGGAACATACAATAGGACAGTGGAGGTATATTCACTAAGTAGTGCCTAATTTTGAAAATTTTGTTAATGTAATGCTTTGGTCAAAAGCAAAAATGTGTCAATGTTCAGACAAAATTAGTAATAGAGTTTTAAGATTAAAAAAAATGGATAATATGTTTAATTTGTAAAGTACATTTTTTGCAGTTACACAGAATTTATAAGCAACAAAAACTTTGAAGGGATTATACGTCTTCAAATAATCATACCCTCTAATCTGCTGGGAATTCTGTATAGGAATCAGTCCTATTGGAGATGAGATCAAATATTTCGCTGTAAGAAATGAAAGGTGACCTAACTGTCCAACCAAGAGCAGGGTGGGTAAAATGTGGACAGTGGTGAGAGAAAAAGAATATGCATGTGTATAAAAATAGCCATCAGCGTTAACATACTAATATCCATCAGTAGTATCAACACTAACAGGTCTTTTAATATTGTGCTTTAGTTCCTAAAATGTTATATTCAACCTAATTCTTCCCATGAATGTACATTTCTTTAGAGGCATCATCAGATAATTATTTGAGCTCATATAGTTTGTAGACTAGAGCTTTCTTTGGGCTCTTCTAATCTAAATTGGGAGAACCATGGCCTCAGGGCACCTGCTCTTATAAATAAAGTTTTATTGAAGTACAACCACTCCCATTCATTTGCATGTTGTCTTTGGCTGCTTCTGCACTACACAGTGCACAAGGCCTAAAATATTTACTTTCTGCCCCTTTAAGAAAAGTTTGCCACCCCCCTGAAATGAAGAAGATAAGCAAATCTTGATACCCATGTAAGAAATGCTGAGTTGTACTTGTTTTTTATCTTGACTTTTGAAGTTAATAGTTTTTGTCTTAGAAGAAATATTATCTATAAAGAACTGATTTTTGCCCTTCTGTATTTTTTGCAAACTTGATCCAGTTGTATACATACGTTTTACATATAGATGTTAACATGGATACAATTTTATGACATCTCTTAATGTTTTAAGATACATTTAAAAACTAGTATTCTGGATGCGTAGATGTTAGTGAACCATTAACTGAAATTTGGCCTTTATTTTCTAAATAATTGAAAGCATGTTGAAGTTAGTGGCATAATTTTAAAAAGGTAGATGCTAGATAACTAGGAAGTTTAGAAATTTAAGTTTCTAATACATTTTGTTTACATTCCAGCTAAAACCACAACTATGCCTTCTTCTACAACTGCTACACCAGGTAATTGAGGGTTTTTTAAACTAACAGTGAAGCAGGCTGTGTGTATACTGTTGCCTTTTACTGTTTCTGCCATCATTTTCCAGTTTTACTCATGAATGGTATGCATGAAACTCATCTCTTATAGAGGACAACATAGTAGGCTGTTAAATCAATAATGATAGATTTGCTAAGAGTCCTTCTCTAGTTTTTTAATGTGTAATCACAGTTGGCATGACATGCTAGAATTAAATAATGTTTTTCCAAAACCCTTTTACTACAACTTGTAGGTTATTCTTTTCGCTTCATTCTTACACTACCTTTATTTCAGTTTCAATGAAGCTATTCTGTCTTCACAAGAAGAATACAGAATAGTTGTAATTAATTTTCAAGCTGGTTAACTTATTATATACAGCCACCAGAACCAGTATTTATTTGATATTTAAGAAAAAAGTAGAATTTATTTTAAATATGAAATTGCTTTTTATTAAAGTGAGTGGTTCTCCATTTGAAACATTTTTAAAAAAAATATTTTATTGATTTTTTACAGAGAGGAAGGGAGAGAGAGAGAGAGTTAGAAACATCGATGAGAGAGAAACATGGATCCGCTGCCTCCTGCACATCTCCCACTGGGGATGTGCCCGCAACCCAGGTACATGCCCTTGACCGGAATCGAACCTGGGACCTTTCAGTCCGCAAGCCGACGTTCTATCCACTGAGCCAAACCGGTTCCGGCATTTGGAACATTTTACTCCTTGAAAAGGAATTCAAATTTTTGTGACTTTTTTCCCTCATGACTTGGTAATAACTTTCTCATATTGTAAAACATGCAGAGTAAGATAAGATACATTTGCTTATGGAATTATAAATTGCATATACTTAAGATTATTTTTGTAATTTGAAAAATTGTAACCAAATTTTTAAATTTACCTTATATGTTTAGTAAAATTATAAAGTTATTTGAGGCCCAGCCGGCATGGCTCAGTGACTGAGCTTTGACCTATGAACCAGAAGGTCACGGTTTGATTTCTGATCAGGGCACATGCCTGGGTTGCAAGCTTGATCCCCAGTGTGGGGCATGCAGGAGGCAGCTGATTAGTGATTCTCTCTCACTCTCATCATTGATGTTTCTATTTCTCTCTTCTCATCCTTCCTCTCTGAAGTCAATAAAAATATATATTTTTTAAAAGTTATGTGAATTTTAAACACAAATATTAATGTTTACTCTAACAATTAGGTATAGTTTGAAGAAATTGCAAAGTTTTTGAAAAAAGAATATTTTTATTGATTTCAGAGAGGAAAGGAGAGAGAAAGAGAGATAGAAACATCAATGAAGAGAGAGAATAATTGACCGGCTGCCTCCTATATGCCCTCTACTGGGAATCAAGCCAGCAACCTGGGCATGTGTGCCCAGACCAGGAATCAAACCCGTGACGAGCTGGTTCATAGGTTGACACTCAAACACAACTACACAGGCCGGGCAAGCAATTGCAAATTTTAAAAGTGCTTCACATGTTCCAGGATATAATTTATATATCAGGAGAGTCTTTTTCTGTCATTTTCATATTTGAAGTTGTATAGAGCCATAACCACTTGATGTAACCAGATGGAACGAAGGGGGAATGATAAATTTCTTTCTCAGTTAGATATAAGTTCTAGTTGTAAAGACTTAAGAGAAAATATTTTATAGAATTTAACACATTGAAAATAGAAATTCAGGTAGGTCTTGGAATTATGATAAAGGCTCATGAGACTTATTTCTTCTATCTTATTTAACAGGTTCAACTAATACTACTTTAAGTCCAACTTCACAACCTACGCGAAAGTCTACCTTTGATGCAGCCAGTTTCATTGGAGGAATTGTCCTTGTCTTAGGTGTGCAGGCTGTAATTTTCTTTCTCTATAAATTCTGCAAATCAAAAGAACGAAACTACCACACTCTGTAAACAGACCCATTAGATTAACAAGGACTGGCGTGTAACTCATTGAAACCAAAATATTATATTTCAAGACGTCCCACATGGAAGACACTATTCCAGGATCTTTAAATTTTCAAAGGATGCATATAGGATACTTTGGAGCATCGTGCTTGAAGAAAAATCAATTAAATCATTTTGCTCAACAGGAATATTGAAAATATTCTGCATGAATCCTTGTGGCTGTCTTCTTTTAATTTAC